CCATTGAAGCCAAGCCTTGTATATAACCTTTGTGTATATTTTCCCTTTGCTTATTAAACGTGCCTCCTACCTGGAGTGGTATGCCTCTTTATTCCCTCTCTCCTTGCCTTCTGTGTGAAGAGTGTAGTTCAGATTTCACTGGGGGAACCCTAGAGGCTGTGAACCAGCAGCTTCGCTTTTTCACTTAAATGAATCATGTTGTCTGTATAGCCTTAACAATTGGCTTCTTCATTTAGCATAATTCATTTGAGCTTCATCCATGCTGTGGTGTGTAGCATAGCAATAGTTTATCCTTTTTATTGGTGAGTAGTAGTCCATATTAAGAATGTATCATAGTATGTATATTCTTTCTTCAACTAAGTAACATTTGTGTTGTTTCTAGTCTTTGGTATTAAGAGAAAAGGCTTTATAAACTTTTGTGTACAGGTTTTGTGTGAATGTAGTCTTTCAGTCCCTCTGGGTAAAGGTTACAGTTCATTAGGTCATACCGTAAGTGTATGCTTTATTTTATAAGAAAACTGACAATTATTCTATATGTACCAATTTTCATTTCCACCAGTAAGGTATAAAAGCTTCACTTGTCTTCATACTCACTAGCACTTGATATTGTGGGGCTAAAAAAAAATTTTTTTTAACTGTTCTAATAGGTATATCATGGAATCTCATTGTGATTTGAAGTTGCATTTCTCTGGTGATTAGTGTTACTGAGCATCTTTTCATGTGATTGTTCTTAGGCCTGGGACTACAGACTGAGGCAACTGAGGCAACTAGGTCCAAAATTTTAGGAGACATTTTTTTCTCGGGCATAACTCTTAAGTGCAGAGCAGTGTCTCTATCTAGTCCTGGCCCTGCTTATTTGCCTTCTGTATATATTCTTTGGTGATGTCTCTGTTTAAACCTTTTACTCATTTTTTTTTACTGTCACTTTTTTTCTCATTAGACTTGAGAGTTCTCTATATATTCTGGATATATATCCTTTGTCATGTAAGAGTTTTGCAAGGAATCATTTCCCAGGCTATGATTTATCTTTTAATTCTTCTAATTGTTTTTATGAAGAGCCAAAGTTCTTGATTTTGTTGCTGCTGATGCTTTAGAACATGCCATCTTCTAGAAGACACCATTTGTAGGGTGGATAACCCACCAGATAGAAACAAAAGCATTACCTCAGACTCTCCAAAAAGGGCAAATGGAGTTAGAGCTTCTTTATAATACTCTCTTTCTAACCATGCCTGGGAGAAAATAACCAAAAAAAAAAGACCTTTTTGTTGGTGAGGGCCTAAAGACGTTTCTTGAGCTTTTTAAAGATTGAGTGCTCAGTTTTTTCTCATTTTACTTTTTTTTTTTCCTCTATATAAACTTTAAAACTTTCAGTTCTTTTATTGGTTGTGCCTGAAATTTATGTGTATTTAGTTTAACAAAGTCTAGGATTAAAGATATCATATCCCTCAATTTTGTAAGCAGTGTAAAAACTTAAGAACAGTTTATTCTCATCATTCCCTTCCCAATCACTTATTATTATTGTCTAATATTTCCTTTTTTTTTACTATTATCTTGTATTGAAATATTTATCTTGGTTTACCTATATGTTTATGATTAGTTTGTTCACTTTTTATTCATGCACTTCAGATTTCCATTGGGCCCATTTCCATCTTTATTCAAGTGTATCCTTTTAAAAGTTCCTTTAGAGCAAATATCTTGGTGGTAACTTATTTGTAAATGTTTGTTTTCTTTCTTGAAAGATAATTTTGCTGAATGCACAATTCTAGGTTGATAGTTATCTTCTTTTAATTAGTCATTGTTGCCTTGACCTCTGTATTTATGAGAAATCTACTTTTATTTTATTTTTCCTTTATGTTAATGTCAGCATATTAATATTATTCAAAACAGTAGATGTTACTAGTTTATCACTGGTTGCTTTGCAGACCTTTGTCTTTGTTATTCTGTAATTTCATAACAATATATGTGGCTATGGGTTATTTTCATTTACCCTATTAGGCATATATTTATGTTGTGCTTCCTGGATTTGTGGATCCATGTTTTTCATCAGTTTAAAAAAATTCTCAGCCATTACCTCTTAAAATATTTTCTCTCTTCAAGAGTGTGTTTTTATTTCCGTGTAGGACTCTCAATTTAACATGCTAGATCAGGGGCTGCATACTTTTTTCTGAAAAGGGCTTTGCAGGCCACATTCAGTCTCTGTTGCATATTTCCATGTTGTTTTTATTTTAACAATATAAAACCATTCTTAGCACACAGCAAGATATATGCTTGGTGGAAAAATATAAACTCTTTTTCTCTTTTCCATTTCTCTTAATCTTTCATATTTTTCATATCTCTTTGCTATATTCTGTGTAAAATATATTCTCCCTTGAACTCTAATGCTGTGTATTCATTGAATTCAATGTATATATTTTAATTTTTATTCCAGATATTCCCTTTTATTGTAATTTGTCATCTAGTAGCCAGAGAACTTCACTAAGGAACTTCTCCGTTAGGATTTGTACTTAAAGTGGAAGCCAAACACAGCCAAACACAGCCAAAACGCAGCTTCCCACCTGAACCTTGTTCCCTGTTTTAATCTCCCCCCTGATGTTGCCATAGAAATGGGCCTCAAAGCCACTTCCCCTACACCCCCTTGCTGGTTGCCAGCTTTCATAGGTAAGCTTCTCCCGTTCTCACTCCTCACTGCTATGGTCCACCTCCTGCCTCTGCAGCCTGGCTCTGGGCTGCTCTTGCCCACTCTGACCCAAGCTCCTCGCTGCTGTCCTACTGCCTCCCAAGCCTAAGTTCTTGGTTCTTGTAGTACAGACCCTAGGCAGCGCCAGGATCAATCCACATTTATTTGTTGATATACTTGCTGGGAGAAGCAGGTGTCATTAGAGACTCTGTTATAGTGTGAGAGGAAATCTGCACAAAGGGTGTGTACTACCTAGAATATGGTTGCTGTGCAGCTGGCAGGTTCCTTAGAGCTTCTTATTAGTTGTAATGCCAGAAGCATACATCCTGTGTTAGTTTTATATTTAGAAAAAAATTCCTTCTTTCACAAGATACTGTTCATTGAGTAAGGAAGTGATGACAAAATATTTTAAAATATCTTTCAATGTATTCTTCATAGAAGCTTTCTCTCAAATGTATTGTGTTCTCTTTTAGTATGTTAGTACATTTTTTACTTTCTGTGATGTTTTTATTAACCAATTCACCAATGTTTTTAACTGATGCCCTTGCTAGGATAGTTAATGCTTTAAACAATATCAGCAACATTGTAGCATATTATGAACATTGCAAGGAGTGAATTTGATTTTTAGTGTAGAAATTTTTGTGTAGTAAATGTGTTTATTTTTCTCAATTCAGGAAAATGTCCGAACACAGGGAAGATTTTGATGCTCAGAATGTTGCTGAAGCATCAGAAGAAAGTGATGATGCTTTTGAAACTGTCAATATTCCAGTTCCCTCAGAAGAGCTCCCAGAGTCTCCTCAAACTGAAGGCAGTGGATCTGAAGTAGAGCCATCTGATGGGGGCCGTGCGACCCTCGTTGAGGAGAGTGACCAGAGTGTTTCAAGTCTGGAAACAAATGATGAACCACTGATAGAAGGGGTTATAACACCCGGACAAGTTTCATTTTCTCCAAAATTTAAAAAGCACTATCTGACTAAGTCTGATAATGCAGTGAAGTCAGGCAGACAGTATTCATATGATTCTGTGACACTTATGGATAAAATAAAGGCTGCAAAGGAATCTCTGAAAATGTCAATGAAGGAGGCTGTAGCAATAGGTATTACCTAGAGAAGATAGGATATTTCTTTTCCTTATCATGAAGAATGGTTACTTTTTCTCATTTTTTTTCCTTGAAGATTTGTTTTATATTTGATATTACTTTCCCTTTCCCTATCACCAAGCTTCTGTAGCTACTCCACTTGAATCTCTTAATTATGTGTGAAACTTCTGTATTCTGCAGTAGCTACTCTCCTTTAGTGAATGAACATCATTAAACTTTAAATTGATACCTATCTGTTTTCCCCAAATAAAGTAGGTTTTAAAAATGTTTAGGAACCTTGGAAAATGATGGACAAGTTCTTGAGCATAATTTTAGTTCTTTTGCATGCCACTTTGAAATTAATGATATATACATGCTAAGAGGTGAGATGGGAACTTGACTCCCGTTTTCCTAGTTTAATTCCCTGTGCTCATTTCACATACCTTGTTGCATTTACATACTTCCATATTTCTGCTTAATGTTAACCTTATGTTTAGCTTCAGATAAATCATTGTTGTCTTTCATTATAGGTTAATTTTAAAGACATAATGTTGACAGCCTGTAGGGTTATTATTACCTGTTGGTAACAAATCAGAGAGGGAGTAGCGACAACGTGGTTACAAAAGAACTATTTTACTTAGGTGTTTAACTGACTGTTCCTCCTCCCCTTTGTCCATAGAGTTTCTGTCTGTAGGGTGGAGAACATGGGACCATTATTTAGTAGCAGCAGCTTGGTCTGCCGGGTAAAATGTAGTTTTTGATTCCACTGAGGTAGTTTACCCTGTGTGCTGTGCCCACACAAGTAACAAATGAAAAGGCGGAGGGAGAAGGTACTAATCAAGCCCAGTTATACCAAAGCAAAGCTGTTTTCCCTCAATTTCGTTATTCAGTATAAATTTGGGCTCCATTATTTTGATAGTTCTGTTCTCTGATATTGTAACAAACACATGGTGATTTAAAATGTCTTCGTCCTGCAGTTCTTGAGGCTCACGAATTCGTTAACACACCTCTGTTTCCCAAGGCTTAGGAAGTCGCTGCTATGAAAATTTAAAATACATTAGTCATAGAATTTTGGATCCATGAAACAATTAAAATACCCTTCTGATAATTTAACATCCACGAAAGTGTTCTCTTTGTTGACAGAGAATTGTGAAAAATGTTTTAACAAGCTCAAAGAACTTCAGCATCAACAATGCCTACTTAAATTTCATCCTGGGATTATTGAAAATGTCTCATTTAGCTTTATGAAAACTATCACTGTCAGGCATCTAGAAATACATAAAACTTTTTTTGGCCTATGTATACACTCTGTACTTCATTTCACTTGTTACATCTTCTTCATTAGAATTTAGTCTGTAGATTTAAAAGAAAAAAGTTTACCCCCAAATAATTAGTTTTTAAATACTATATTTCATTCCTGTAACTTGTGAACAGGTAATCACTTTATAATAACAGTTTTTCTTTATTTTTAATATGTAAATGTCTTATTTTTATCTGTAGAGTGGGTAGTGAGCCACGTAATGCCCATTTTTGTGAAAAATACATTTGTGGGTAGTTATTACAGGTAGTGTAATAAGCAGTGATTTTCTCTTTTGCCTTTTAGCAACTGTAGACATATTAACAATTATGGGAAGAAGAGTGCACTTAGTATTAGGTATCTTTTGTAGTTGTGAGGTCAAAGAAAATTTTCAATTTTCCTATTAGTTTTTCTTAACTTCAAGAATATGCACTGACTTACTGATGCCTGATGCCAGTATGTGATCAAAGCATGTACATTTTTAAGTTCGGGGACACCCTTCAGGTCTTAGGGTCTCCCTCTCCAATACTTATTACACAAAAATGCTTGATTTTCTCAGTTCTTTCCTATATTTACATCTGAGTAATATATATCAGATATTGGGCACCTTTAAAAGCAGTTAGTTTTTATTTCCTATTTCTCATGGCATTCTGCATGAGGAGGTATTTCCAATTGTGCACTGATTCCATAGCATAGGGAATGGAAAAGAGAACTGAATTTTGAGCTGGAGTTGGAGGAGCAGGTGTTGACTTTGATACTAACTCTTGAGATTCTGGATTGATTTCCTAAGCAAAAGCTTGCAACTGAATGTTTGTCACTTCTCATAGAAAGTGAAAATTAACATTATGGGGGTGCAGTGGGGGAACATGGCAGAAGTGACCTGCATTTATGTGATTAAAAATTGTTCTACAATTCTCTGCTTGTGGAATGTAGGTTGCTGACCTTTACTTTTGACTATGATTCTTTTCTCTGTTTATCTACAGTAAAAGTTATACTTCTTCCCGTGGGCCAGGAAATTATAATGCCTTTTAAAATTGATGCCATTTTTAAACACCTCAAGGATCATTTTTCCTACCTATTAAAAGTCCCATCTGATGTACTGCAGATAAGATATTCAGGTAAGCTTAGAAGCTAACAAAACTTATCACTACTTCTTTACTTTTAATGTAAATAATCAAGATCTTTGATTTGTTAAACTAAATATCTACATACTAACTGAACACCATATTTTGGTTATGCATTCATTCATTCAACACATTTTTATTGAGGACATACTTTGTTCTAAATATTTTGCGAAGAACTGAAGGCATAAAGAAACATGAAACAAAATCCCCATTCTCAAGTTTCTTGCAGCCTTGTAAGGAAGAAGATTCATGCAGTCGCTACCACACAATGGGTAAATGTTTTAAATGGAGATATGCACAAAAAAACTGTGAGAGCAGGGAGGAAGGAAAGGGAGATTCTAGAAAGCACTAATTCCTAAAGAGGTGAGAAAACCTGGGACTTAGGGAAGTGGTAAGAATTTTAGCGTGGCGGGATGCAGATTATATATGAAGAGCAGGAGGAAATGAGGCTGAAAAAAGAGATGATGAATGAGCATGTATAGAGTTAAGAGGAGGACTAAAAATGGTTTATCTGGTAGTCTTCTATACATTAAGGTCAATTCACATTCCCTTGATGTTCAGGTTTATTTTTGTGGGCAATATTGAGCAGCCCACTTTATATTAGCCTTGTGTGTTGAGTGGATATAGTTTTTGTAATTGTGATAGAGTTAGCAAGATTAACATAACTAAATAAGTGTTTCTGTAGAATATGTCTACACAGATCCTAATATTTTAGTTTAAAAAGTTATGGTATTAACTTATAAAGATAGGGAAATAGGAACATATTTTTTGGTAAGAAAAGTTAGCCGTATTTATTAAGTTCCTCCTCCTTGCCAATGAGAGAAAAATAATTCAATTTCAAAATTAGTTTTAGAAAACTATCATAGTAAATGTACTCTAATAGTAAGATGTTCATGTAGTCAAACCAATTATTAAAGCTTGTTTGGAGAAATAAAGCTAAAATATAAATAGTTATTAATAAAATAATGATAATGACAATTGTAAAGGTCATATTGATGATAATAATTTATTGAGCACCTACTATGTGCTGGTCCTTATACAGAATGTTCTGTCTATATTACCACATTAACATTTAATCCTCACAACAACCCTTTGAGGTAGGTATTACTAACTTTTTTTTGAGAGAAAGAAACTAAAGCTTGGGAGATTTATGCAAATCCACACAGCTAAGTGGCAAAGTATGAACTTAAATATAGATATGATTTCAAAAAGGGAATTTGAAACTGCTTAGCATTAACTATAAGGTGGCATTAGCTGTAACATTCAAAGAGAAAGCACTTTGAGATTGGAGTAGCTGGACAGTGGTACATAAGAATCTCTTTGTTCTTTGCATTTCATGACCTTTCTTAGAAAGGCATCACCACTGGATAACAGGCTCATGTCAGCAGCAGTAGTAAAAGGGCTTGATTCTGTGTCAACCATCCTTTAAGATACACTCTTTATTCTAGTACTAGACCTGGAGTTCAGTTTCAGTGGGACTAAGTCTACTTACAAAAAAGCGGAGGAATGAAGAGAACCTGGGAATCTGTATTAGTTTTCTATGGCTGTTGTAACAATTAACCACAAACTTAATAACTTAAAGCGACACTCATGTCTTACAGCTCTAGAACCCATAAGTCCTAAATCAGTTCCATTCAAATAGAGTCAGGGTGTCAGTAGTGCTGTTCTCCCTCTGGAGGTTCTGGGGAGAATTTGCTTCCTTGTCTTTTCCAGCTTCTAGGGTTGCTAACATATTTACTGGCTCATGGCCCCTTCCCCCATCTTCAAAGCCAGAAGCATTGCATCTTCATATCTCTTTCTGCTTCTGTCATACTATCTTCTATACAGTCAAATCTTTCTATTTCTTCCTTTATAAGGACATTTGTGATCATGTTTCAGGCTCATCTGGATAATCCAAAACAATCCTTCCTTCTCAAAATTCTTAATTTCATGAAATCTGCAGTCACTTTTGCCATTTAAGTAACATTCATAAATTCTGGGGATTAGGACTGGACTTGGATGTATTTTGGGACCATTATTCAACCTATCACAAAATTCATATAACATCCATATTAATTTTAAATTGAGAATTGAGGATGTGAAATTGAAACTCAAAGATCTTTAAATTGTGCTTTCTTGAAGTAGCTAAAGTAGGTAGTGATATCCAATATATTTCTAAGAATGAATATAACAAAACCTTGTTATATTCCAATTCAAATTCCAATTATAATTTAAGAAGACCACACATTGGAAGATTGATATAAATTCTATCAATAAAGTTTCCCTGACACAAAACAGCAACTAGTAACACTATACACATCTTTGTATGTCTTGAAATAGAGAAAATGAGAGTCAATTTATAGAATAAACCAATGGTCGGGGTAGGGGTGGGGGGCAGAAGTTGAAACAATACATCATAAAATTAAAGAGATGCACACTTTTTCCACCACAAAACTGAGGCTTAAGTCTACCTTGGCATGAATTAATTTATGTGAGTTCCTTATTATGGAAATAGACAAAGGAAGGAATTCTTTAGAATTCTGAGTATGTACTTTTCTGCACCAGAAAGAGGAATGAATATTAGAATAATCAGGTTTTCCCTAATGTGAATATGTTCTGTTTATATATAACCCATTGGGTTTTTTTTAGAGTCAATGTTTACAAAATGATTTCTATTTTTAAATGTTTGTAGAGTTGTGTAGTTATTATATATTTGTACTTCTAATGGATTTAGAGTTAAAGCTTTACTTTACTTACAATGCTGAATTCTTGCTCAGGAGTACTACCTTAAGTTTTCCCATTGTGGAGTTCTCCATACCCACATTACGGCAAGATGTGGGCACTATTAATATTCTATTTGGTTACTAAAAATTATGTGTTCATATGAACACCTTTGATGTTTTCCATCCCCTTAAAGTGAGTACCTACAGTCATTTCTTTGTCATAACACTTGTTTTAATTTTATCTCTTTCTTAGGAATCGTTGTTAAAAATAATGAGACTCTCATACAGCATGGAGTTAAGCCACAGGATATTATACAAGTGGAAATCTTTTCTACACATCCAGATCTATATCCAATTAAAAGGCTAAGTGGATTAAATGATGTCTCTCAAATCATAACTGTCAGAGTACAAACTGGTTAGTTATTCACTCTCTTTTAGGTGAAGTATTTTAAGTCCCTTTTAGTTGAGCTTTCATTCCCTCTTTGTTTTATCTCCTCAGGCATTCATGAGTGCCAGGAGGTAGCTGTTGAGATTATAAAATCTGATTTTCACAAGCCATTCCTTGGTGGATTCAGACATAAAGTCACAGGAATAGAATATCACAATGCTGGAACACAAACTTTACCTAAAAAGATTCCTGAAAAATCCAATATATTTTGTAGAGATACGCAGGTACTATATTTATAGTGGGTTTTTGAAGCTGCAGAATCAACAAATGTACTGTATACTTCCTTAAAATTAAAATCTTCTAAGGAATTATTTGGCAATTAAAATAATAAAAGAAAATTAATGTATATGAAAATTAGGCTCTTTACTTACTTACGTGTGTATATAGTGGAAATTTAATTTTTCTGTTTTTATTTTAGACAGTTTTTCAGAGAAAAAAGCTCCAACAAACTACAAATACAGCATCAACACAGATGACTGAAATTGGTGTGTATGTATCAAATATGACTGATAAGCTGGTAACACCAGGAAAATATTTTTCAGCAGCAGAATACCATGCTCAAAGATTAAAGGCGGTAAGGTTACTTTTATTATGGGTAAATATAAAAAAAAATACATGAGCCATTTGTTCTGTGTGTGTCTGTGTGTGTTTCCCTAAGCTATCATAGTTTGTAAAAGAGCCTACATGAGAGTTGTTAAAGAAAAAAATAAGTCAGAATACTTGTTAAAGATGGTAAGGCAGACTTTATTCAAGAGGGACTACTAAGTAGAGTTTTGCAGTAGGGAGAGAGATTGAGCTCAACTCTGAATTCAAGAAAAGTGGGAATTTATAGCCATGGAGTAGGGTATAGAGGTCAGTGGGTGGAAAATTACTACAAGAAAACAGCAAGCAAGGGTAAGGGAGTATTCTGGCTAACAAGAGTTAACCAGCCTAACAAGAGTTTTGCTGAAGGGTGGCCAGAGTGATTAGGCATCATTTGGAGGATGGTGGAAGATGAGAAACCTGATCAAATATGGGGGGTGATCAGTTTTTGAGGGTGGGGATTTTGGTTACACCGAATTAGCAGGAATTATGCTAAAATTAGGCAATGCTGAGATGAACACAAAGGTCCAAGAGTGAGACCTCGTTGAGAAAGAACTCAGAGGAGCCTGATTGGAGTTTGGTGAGAGAGAATCTCTGTGAGTGAGTTATATATTTCACTGGTAGCAAAAGGAGCCTTTGGCTCCATTCTCCCCCCCATTATAGGAACCAGAATCCTAAATACTCCTACTCCTTTCCTTTCCCTTAGGGGGAAAAGTACTCCTTTCCCAGTACTTTGTGTGTTACCTTCAGCCATCTTTAGCTTTGTCCTCTCCATCACTTGGCCTCAGCACCCCTCTCTCTTGGCCTCAGCCCCTCTGTCTCTTGGCTTTAAGCCTTGTAATAGTAGAATCACCTAGGGAGCTCTCCAGACTAGCTGAAACCAAAACGAGTGAATCTGTTTTCCCTGATGTTAATATAGTCACTGCAACTCTTTCATATTATTGTTTGCAAGATCTTTTTTCATCTTTTTATTTTCAACCTATTTGAGTCTTTAATTCTAAAGTGTATCTCTTGTGGAGAGCATATAACTGGACCTTGTGTTTTTAACCAGTCTTAAAATCTCTGCCTTTTGCATGGAATGTTTAATATATTTATATTTAATATAATTATTGATAAGGTTGGATTATATCAGCCATTTTGCTGTTTGTTTTCTATTGTACAGCTCTCTTGTTCCTCTGTTCTTCCTTTATTGCCTTCTTTTATGTTGAATAGACATTTTCTAGTGAACCATTTTTTAAATTTTGTTTTTTTTTTTCAATTTAAAACCTTTATATCCAGGACAGTGTATACATTTTTTTTTAGAGTACAGTTCAACGGTTTTTACTATATAGTTACGCAATCTTTATCACATCCTAGAAAGAAATCCTCCGCTCAATAGCAGTCACTCCCTATTTCCTTCTACTCCTCTCTGCCTTAGGCAACCACTGATCCATTTTCTGTCTCTACTGACTTGCCTACTCTGAATATTTCATACACATGGAATCATATAAGAGTCTTTTGTGACTGACTTCTTTTACTTATAATGTTTTCAAGACTCATCCATGTTGTAACATGTATCAATATTTCATTCCTTTATAGTGCAGAATAATATTGTATATACCCAGAGGTAAATGCCTATTGTATATATGTCAGTGTTAATACCACATTTTGTTTGTCCATTTTTCAGTTGATGGACATTTGAGCTGTTTCCATTTATTGGCAATTAAGAATAAAACTGCTATAAATATTTGTGTACAAATTTTTTATGATAGATATGTTTTTATTTCTCTTGTGTAAGTAAGTTTCCAGAAGCATAATTGCTGGATCATATGATTATCTTTATTGAGGAATTGCCAGACTGTTTTCCACAGTGGTTGCAATAATTTATGTCCAACCATCAGTGTGTGAGGTTCCAATTTCTCTACATTCTCATCAATAGTTATTATTATCTTTTTGATCACAGCTATCCTAGTGAGTGTGAAGTGGTATCTCATTGTGGTTTTGATTTATATCCCCTGATGGCTAATGATATTTATTATCTTTTCATGTACTTATTAGTAGCTGGTAACTTATATACACTTTCAGGAGAAATGTATATTCAGATCTTTTGCCAATTTTTAATTGGGTCATCTTTTGTTATTATTGCTTTGTTTTCTTTTTTTTTTTTTTGAG